CTTAATTAGCTTCTCCTAGATTATCCCATCCATTTTGACATCATACACATTTAATAATAAAAAAGCAAAATACAAATTATCACGTCATTTAGAAAGGACGACGCTATCTGGATCTTCCTTTTTGACCCTACTTTATTCCCCGTCCCTGGGGGAAAAAAAACTAGCCAGACTGTGTTAAGAGCATCATCAATAAATAATTTTGCCAACTACAGGTGTTGCTTCAATTACATCTAAAAGAGCACAGAACATGACGCTTTAAAAAAGCAGCTTTTTTTAGACGAGAAAAACTCCCCCACCAGCCTTTCTATTTCTTTTTTTAAAAGCACCTTTTTAAGACTGGAAAAATCTGCCACCTTACTCATCAATTCACCGGTTCGCGTGGAGTCAAGCAAGCGTTTGACGGGATTAAGGCAATTCAAGGGAGGGAAGAAATCCAAACCTTGGAGTGAGACCGGCAGGGACGGGAGAAGCAACCCAGGAGATATCAACCAGCTCTGGCCATTCCAGAAGGGCTCCGTATTTAAGATCCCTAACTGGGACGCTGGCCAGCCGGCCAAGGGCACCTCCGTGCCAGAGCACCTTGGGAAGAAAGCAAGCGCCTTCCTCACCCTTGAGCCAGAGGTTATCAAGGGAGGAATCCTTCCTGGCGTGACCTGGCCTTCAAAAGCCGGCCGTGGATTGACAGAAGAGCCTGTCTTCCTAACTTCCACAATATTTGAGACCTGGCTTCTCCCTGTTTGCTTCCTGGACAGGTCGGGGGGGAAAAACGTTTCCACAGCCCACGGGAGGAACTGAAATGGTGACACACGCCCAACGTTAAGGAACTGCAGAGAGAAGGCAAGCCAGGTTGTGAGGCTCAGGACATCCCTGGGGGGCTTCAGATCCCTCTGTCCTCCTGGGGGATCCAGGAAAGGTGCTCCAAGCCCCCTCTGGCTTGCTCCTCTCTTCCCATTATCCTCAGGTCTTCAGGAGGCTCAACGTACCCCAAGAAGCAGTGCCCCTCACTCAGGTGTTTCAACTCAGAAGCAGAAGTAACTGGTCCCTGTCTACAGAAGAGCTCAGGAGACCCAAGGCTAGCTAGCAGGGGCGAGGGGCTGAAGAGCCAACCCTGAATGCTTGGAAAGCCATTTTTGTGGGAGGGGGATCCGCCCTTCCTAGGTGGCCTGATGGCCGAGGGGCTGACCTCGACGGGCAAAGCGCTTGGGAGGGGCACCAGAGGCAGCCCACCTGCCCATAAATTGTGGCCCTGCCAGCCCAGATGGAGTTTCTGTTCCTAAAAGCCACCAAGCCCAAAGCAGCCAGCTCCTCGCTGGTCTTGCCAATGTACATTATGTACATTTTGGACTACAGTAATTAAACTTGTCGGCTCATTAAAACATCTCTGAGCATCTTCTGCATTGTGGCTCAAATCCTATTAGCCGGCTGCCTTGTAATATGTTTACACAGTATTAGAGGCACAAGAAATATGCTTCCCTCTGCACCTCCGCTACAAATGTTTGCACAAGACGAAGCCACGGGGCTGCTGGGCACCAATTCTGTTTTTCTGCATGACAAGTAAGGCCAGGTGCAGCCGAGCGGGCCTGCCAAGCCTTCTCTACCTTCTGGACCCACGCAGACAGACTGAGGAGGGGAGGGGGGGGTCCTAATTGGGGCTGAGCAAAGAAACACCCCGCACCCCCCGAAAGGATCAACAGCCTGTCCAGGAAACGGAGAAGCCCAGGAGCGAAGCGCAAACCGGCATGCATGAAAACAGGAATAAGTGGGTAAGAATAAGAATCTCTCAAGAAAATGCTGCTTCTGCAGGAACGGCTGCCTGTCAAAATGGATTTTTTCCATTTTCCATGCATTTGGCATGAATTTTTCTTTTTTTAAAAAAAATAGAGACCTCTTAAGCAGCCGAGTTCAAACAAAGCAATGCCCAGAACTGCAATTGAGTGAAGGCAGATTCCCATGTATTAACCTCCCTTCAGAGATCAATCTGCTTCTAATGTGCTGCGCCGCTTAAAGCCACCGTGGATGTCAACAACCCAAAAGGACATTTTAAACTTTTTCTTTAGAGAAATCTATCAAGCAATAGGTCCCCAAAGGAGAGTGTTAAACCACTTCAGGGGAGCAACAACCGCACACTCTGAGCCTTACGCTTGTTTTTAGTCAACGTGGAGATATGACAAAGATTTACACGGGACCTTTGCAGAAATTCTAACCATATTTAGAGCAGATCAATCAATAAAAACAAACTTGGCAATCATCACAAACAGGCCCAGGGCTCGAAACATCAATTTCCGCATAAACCTAAAAATGTGCCTTGGGGTCCAAATTTGCCACCCAGAAGGCCGAGCCTAAGGTGGCCTCAGTGAAAGTAGCTACTAGCAAACAACTCAGCTGAGCTCAGCCAACGTTACTGAAATCCCACGTTGCATTAATAAACTGGAGCAGCTTCGACAAGAATAAAGCTGAGTTTAAGGGGGGCAAATTGAACTGAGTGAAGAATGGCCACCCAGGTGCCATGGACTGCAACTCCCATCATGCACCGCTGGCCTTGGGGGAGGGAGAGGGGACACAAGCATGTCACAGCGTGCCAGGGGCCAAACATTTCTCCTTGGATTGCAGCCTCCTGCTTATGTCTCAGTGGTGTAGAAGGATCTCTTTTCTTTCTTGGGAAAACACACTTGTGGCTTCCACAGTTTCTGTCTTCCCCCACTCTACTCCCAAAGACAAACTTAAGGGGAGCCCTACAACTGGACCAGATCAAGGGAGATGCTTACTCCAGACTTCTGTGGCTGAGCAAGTGCAGTCAGGAAGCTGGCGTACCTGGGCAGGAGGACCCTGGCTGTCCTCTAACTGTTGCTCCCTAGCATGCCTGCTGCTTGGAAACAATGCTGGTGTGTCCAAGGCGTTAGCAGAAACCAGCTTCATGGCCAGCCCTTGCTGGAATAGGAGGAGGAGGGGGAGGAGGAAGAGGAGGAGGAGGAGGAGGAGGAGGAAGAGGAGGAAAGAAGGAGGAGGAGGGGGAGAAGAGGAGGAGAAGGAGGAGGAGAAGGAGGAGG